AGCTGTATGCCATAATCATCAGTATTAAAACAATTAAAGACCTGAAAAATTTCAGTTGGTGTGCAATGAATCTGAAATATATGAAAGTTTCATTTTTATCATTACATTATGGAAAATAATGATCTTTATCACAATATGCTAATTTTTTGAGAAGGACCTGTGTATATATATATATATATATATATATATATAAATAAAATAAAAAAGTGAACATGACATCAATGAGACTAAAAGGTTAAACAAATAAAAAGTCACTGATTAAATGTTGTGAGCAGCGGGCTTTGGTTGTCAGCAGCAAACTGGTTGATCCACTCTGAGACGGTGCTGTTTATAAGACTGAGCTGAATACAGCACCTCAGACTGAGGAAGTCTTTCAGATGAAAGACGAAACGTATCTACATTTTTTTGCTTTTTTTTATTTTATTTTTTTTTATGTCCAGAGGACCAGATTTACCTTTTTTTAGATTTTTCTACCTGGATTATTGAGCATGCATCAGGATACTGATAAAATGTGTTTTCTCTTGCACTCAGGACAATTATAACTAATGTGTGCTCAGTTTTAATATTTATGACATTTTTATTTATTATAACAGGCAGATTTATTTATATTAATTTTATCATTCTTGTGTTCTTATAAAGAACCTAACGAGCTGAAGAATTAATTACTGTATTTTTCAGCCTAGAAATCATACTTTTTTGCATAATTTACATGCCCTGCGACTTACAAGTTCACACACCATATTTGTGAATTTTTTCCCATATTTATAAACCATTTTTTGGCTGAGATACGACTGTTTTCATTCATTCTGACTGAAAAAAAATTTCAGCAGTACCATTTTTAGCCACTTGATGGCAGCAGAGTAATAGCAGAAAGGCATGCAGTTGTATCATGTAATAGATAAACGTGGCTATAATGACAAATTCAAAAAAGTTCAAGACAAAAACAACTGGACTTTATTTATTATACTTCACAGTTTACCATGTCCTGGATGACTGAGAATCTTCACCAGCTATTATTGACACAATCGGCTTGCCACAGTCTCCCCACCTTGGTTCTGCTTGCTGCTTGGACCGACTGTCAATCCAGCTGCTCCCCGGCAAAATGCAGCTAATTTGACCATTAAAGTGCATTTATTAAGCAAATGTTAGACTGAGACACACCTTTGCTATAATTTTGAGCAAACAAATAATTGTTTTAAAGTGTTAATCTTGTTAAAGTCCTACCAGTGTTTCCGCTACCATTTTACAAGTGGGGCGCCCCGCCCCGTCAACAGAAGCGAGCACCCCGTCAACAGAACCCCACCCCCCACCACCTGTCGGCACTGACGTAACGCTAAACTAGCGGTTTGCAACGCAGGTGCACTAGCTAAAAAGCTAAAGGCAGTCTCTTCTTTCATGCTGAACCCTCATGCTGAACACACTCCCACCACTCGAAAACTGTCGGTACAAACAGCGCACGGCTCAGATATGCGTCTGTCTCTCCCTCGCACCGACCCCCCCCCCCCCCAAAAAAAAACTGTTTAGACAGCACGGGGCTGAGATATGTCTGTTTCTCTCCTCTCTCACACCCTGCTCTAAAACTGTCAGTACAAACAGAACGCGGCTGTCTCTGTGTCCCCCAAAACTGTTGGTTTAAACAGCTTAGGACGAGTCTCCGTTCCCCCAAAGTCTTGTAGCTTGCTGTATTTGTTTTAGAACAGTGGTTCCTTGAAAAGGGGGACGCTCAGAATGTTTTTTGTTTTAGTCCTAAAATGTTGCAGAATATTTCTGTTCTGACTACAACACATGTAAACTTATAGTTGTTGGAGTTTTGTGCACAGATCAGACTTGATTATGGTTCTAAAAGTGATTATTATTATTTTTTTAATCTATAATTGAATTTCTAGGGGAAGATTTGTGTTACTGCTTGAGCCAGGTGGAGGTTTTGACAGGTCTGGAGACAAAATGTCATGAAAACAAATCAACTCTAACAGATGGAAGAAAGCTCAAGGTAAAGCAGAGTGTTTCTGTTTACAGGAAAATCACTTGTTTTAATTCACGTTGTTTCTCTCCTAAATGAGGCGCAGCATGAAATGTTCAGAACTGCCGCCAAACCAACAGTAACAAGACTTTCAGTTATTCAACAGACTAACATCAAATATTCCTTATAACAGGTCCTCCCTCCACACCTCCACCTAACATCTCCAGACTACAACTTTAACAATGGCACTTGTGCAGAGCAGAACCCACAGGAGGACTCACATGTCTTTCTGGACCTCTGGGTCATCGTAGCGGCGTCCGATCAGCCTTTTGGTAGCGTATAGTGTGTTTTTAGGGTTGGTGACCGCCTGGCGTTTGGCGGGCATCCCCACCAGACGCTCGCCTTCTGTCGTGAAGGCGACGACTGAAGGAGTTGTCCTGGCTCCTTCTGCGTTCTCCAGCACCTGGACAACACAGAAAATTCAACATATTAAAAGAAATGTTGGGACCGCAGAAGAGCGGTATGTTGATGCCCCCGTCTGAGGGATGGAGTCGTCTGTGTTCGTGCTCCTAAATATTCTCTACTCTCAACAGGTTGGTGCCATTAGACAAAGTGAAACTCGTGTGGACGGTGATGTGTTCCTCCTCTTGTCACCTGAACACAACGGACATCGCTCAGCTGCAGTGAAGTCGTGTCAACAGCAGCTACGACCGCTGCTCCGTCCCAGGCAGCGGGGCGCTCGGCTCTGTCGACAGGACGGGGTGCCCTCCATGGATGATGGTAGTTATTGATTATAAATTGTCTTGTTTGGTTGGAAACTACAACAAACAAACTGTTGTGGTAAAGTGTATACGTTTATTAACATGAACAGCCTGGATGATGAAGACCTCTGGTTTTTCTCCATTCTCTGATGGTAAGGATGATAAACAGCTAGCGGCAATCAGGGCACCAATAATCGTTAGGCTGATGGTCCTCTTACATTTGAACAGCTGGTTTGTGGAGTCCAGCAGACTGGTTTGATCCACTTAGAAAAGGCTCCATTCATAGGACTGAGTTTGTGGCAGGGCCTCAGACTTTAAGAACAATCTGTCTAGATGACACGACAACGGTTTGTGATACATGACATCACCTAAAAGATTAACAGACTGTCCCTTTAACACACTCCACCCCCCCCCCCCAATAGAGGGATACAGGTCCCGATTATTGAACCTGAAAACCATCTGCACGGCACATGCTTTAAAACAAACTGTGACCAAGTCCTGATACTCAGACGTGACCCGCCAGCCGTCGTCAAGGGACACTCCACATCACCACTGAACCACCGGGCTTAAGAGGTTGGTTTATTTTATATACAAAAGGACATGCTACAAAACGCTTGTTTTTAAAAAAAAATTCCAACTTTATTAACATTAAAACCAATAAAAAATAAATTAATGTAACTTGTAGTGAGTCAGTTGCTTTGCTCCATCAGGACTTTGTTGGACCACCTCTGTCTGGCCTGTTATGGACCAAACCATTAACCGTACTCTTCAGTGCCTCCATCTGTCTCTTATTGCCGATTCCAGATCAGCTCTGCAGGTCGGAGCCTGGTCATTGGTCATTTTCTTCAATTTCCACCAGAGATTTTGAACTGGATTTAGATTAGGATTATTTATAAATCATGCCATTGACATTGTCTTTCCAGATTTTTTTTTGTCCTTTGCCCGATCGCAAAATGCATTATGTTGACAATGAAGTCATCAAGAAGCATCCCGTCAACTGCAGGAATAAGACTGTAGATGTTAGTGTTTATAAAGATGTGACGACGAGTCTTTCATCCAGTCACCTACGTCCATGGATGGTTCTCTTCAGCCTCCGTCACCTTGTTCTCCTCTTGAAGATGGCTTCAGTTTGACTCTTCTGGATGTAAATCCTATTTAATTTATGTCATTTCTTACAGCTTGGTCATAAACATTAACTCCAGTTTCCACCCGTTTTTTTTTTTGTACATTTTATGTTTAAGACATTTTGTTTTCATTTTTATACCTTTAGCCTTTGAAGGTTTACCTTGGTCAACCAGTTTGTTCTTATTTTGTTTGTACTTGGTCCAGATTTCAGCAGCTGACTGAGAACAAGCAACAACTTCTGCAGCACACTGTGATGATTTACCTTCTTGAAGAACTTTCATCATCATTTCCTTATAACCCAGGATGTTCTTGTAAAAGATTAAAAATCACAATGGATTTCTGTCCTGGTAAAATAAAGGTTTAAATAAAAATTAAAAAAAAAAAACTCGTCTCTTGTGTTGGAGCCATGATTCATGTCAATCAACAGCTCTCCAAGGTGTCAGCACTTTGAAGACTAATCTGATGCAGGACTGTACTTAAACAGCTCCTTTTTATCTAATCCAGAAACTCAAAGCTCTTTACAACACAATCTGTGCCTCATTCACCCATTCATACCCATTCACCCATTCACACCCATTCAACAAGTTCTATGCACGCTTTGAAGACCCGAACAGACCACCCAGCACCAGACTCACCTCACCACCGGATGAAGAGCATCTCAGCGTGACCTCAGCAGAAGTAAGGAGTACCTTCAGGAGGATTAATCCGCACAAGGCAACTGGCCCAGACAACATCCCCGGAAAAGTGTTGAAGGAATGTGCTGATCAGCTCTGTGATGTGCTGGCAGATATCTTTAACACCTCACTTACCCTGGAGACAGTTCCCACCTGCCTGAAGACTGCCACCATCATCCCAGTCCCAAAAAGCTCTACAGTGACTGGTCTGAATGACTATCGGCCAGTGGCCCTCACCCCGATAGTCGCTAAATGTTTTGAAAAACTGGTCATGACTCGCATCAAAACAACAATCAACATCAACGAGGACCCTCATCAGTATGCATACCGTGAGAACCGATCAACAGAGGATGCAATCTCCTCTGTGGTCCACACTGCACTCAACCACCTGGAGCAGAAAAACTCTTACGTCCGTATGCTCTTTGTGGACTTCACATCCGCCTTTAACACCACGATCCCCCAAACCCTGATGGACAAACTATCAACACTAGGACTAAGCCCCTCCATTTGCAACTGGGTACTAGACTTTTTAACAAACAGACCACAGTTAGTGAGGATCCACAACCTCTCCTCCTCCACCATAACCCTCAGCACTAGCTCTCCTCAGGGATGTGTGTTGAGCCCTCTCCTGTTTACTCTGCTCACGTATGATTGTGCAGCTACCCATCCAGGCTGTCACATTGTAAAGTTTGCAGATGATACAGCGGTGGTGGGATGCATCACAAACAACGATGAGTCCAGCTACAGGCAGGAGGTGGAAAACCTGGAGAGCTGGTGCAAAGAGAATAACCTTCACATCAATGTGAAGAAGACAAAGGAGATGATTGTGGACTTCAGAAGGAACAAAAACATCTACACCCCCCTGAACATAAGAGGATCTGCGGTGGAAGTGGTCTCCAGCTACAAGTACTTGGGTGTACACATGAATGACAACCTCAGCTGGAGCAACAACACCACCAGCCTGATCAAGAAAGCTTATCAGAGACTCTACTTCCTCAGACGGCTGAGGCGAGCTGGTCTGGGAAGCTCAGTCCTCACCTCCTTCTACAGGTGTGCAGTGGAGAGCATCCTGTGCTCGAACATCAATGTGTGGCATGGAGGCTGCACAGCTGCAGAAAGAAAAGCTTTGCAGAGAGTGGTGAAGGCTGCACAGAAATCTGTTGGAATCAGCCTCCCCACCATCACAGACATCTACACCTCCAGATGCAGGAAGAGGGCCACCTGCATCATGAAGGACCCCACTCACCCAGCACACACACTTTTTGCCCCACTCCCCTCAGGAAGGATGTTAAGGAGCATTAAGTGTAGAACCACTAGACTGAGGAACAGCTTCTACCCTGAGGCTGTTGACTCATGAATCTCTAACTAGAATAATCACTGTGAAAAACCATATCATGTTGCTGCTGATCTGTTTCAATGTTGATGTGTTCATGCGTGCACATCTGCTCACAGACTCATGTTCATGTTTGTGCTGATGTTCAATGTTTTATGTTATGAGTGCTTAGTGTATATTTAGTTGA